ACAAATTACCACAAACTGGGTGGCCTTAACCATAGAAATTTGTTTCTCATTGTTCTGGAGGCTAGAAGTCTGAGAGCAGGGTGCCAGCATGGCTGACTTCCAGTGAAAGCCTCTTCCTGGTTTGCAGGTGGCTGTCTTCTTGTTGTGTCCTCTCATGGCAGTGAGAAAGAACAAGCAAGCAAACCCCGTCTTGCCTCTATAAAGGCACTAATCCCATCAGGAGGACTCTACCTTCAAGACCTCATAGACCTCACCTCCAAATACCATCATACTCAACATTAGGGGTTAGGATCTCAACACAGGAGCTTCAGAGGGATACAAACATTCAGTCCATAGCACCAGAACTCCAAAAGAATTAAGTGAACTTAGGGGCACCTGAGTGGCTCAGTTGATTAAGCAGCCAGCTCTTGATTTTGGTTCAGTCATGATCTCAGGGTCCTGGGATCAAGCCCCACATCAGGCTTCATGCTCAGCAGGAGTCTACTTCAGGATTTTATCTCTCCTTTGCTCCTTCCCTGTCCCCTCTTGCTCTCTCTCTCCCAAATAAATGGATGAATCTTAAAAACAAAACAAAACAAAACAAAAACAAAAACAAAAACAAAAACAAAAACAAAAACAAAAAAAAACTAAGTGGACTCAATTCAATACAAATGGGCATTGAGCCATGAGGAAGTCTAGACACCAGAGTCTAGAAAAGCCATTTGTTAGAGGCAGTTATTCCTATGCACCCAGTATACATTCCCACTGAGGATTCCAGATCCATTTAAAGGGATTCAGAGATATGCTTTTTTTTTTCTTTTTTTTCTTTTTTAATATTTTACTTATTTACTTGAGAGAGAGAGAGAAAGAGAAAGAGAAAGAGAGCACACACTCGCATGAGGGTGGGATTCAGAGATATGCTTTTTTTTTCTTTTTTTTTCTTTTTTAAGATTTTACTTATTTACTTGAGAGAGAGAGAGAGAGAGAAAGAGAAAGAGAGCACACACTCGCACGAGGGTGAGAGAGTCAGAGGGAGAGAGAAAAGCAGACTTCCCACTGAGCAGGGACCCCAGTGCAAGGCTCGATCTCAGGACCCTGAGATCATGACCTGAGCCAAAGGCAGATCCTTAACCGACTGAGCCACCCAGGCTCCCACAGAGATATGCATCTTAGATTTTCTACCAAAGACTCCCTAGCGGCCAGAGAATGAACACCTAACCCCCAATACTGTGCCTCATGCCTGAAGCTTATTTGAATTCTTTTTGCTTGATTTTAAAATTCAACTGATTTTTGCATTCTACTTTGTAATATTATCATTGCTTAATAATTCTCTCAAAAATATCTTTGCATAAAATAAGCACTTCACCAAAACATCTATTCCTTGGCATCCGAGTTTACCCATTACATGCCTTGTCCAGATTGAGAGACACAAACATAGAAGTTAATATGAAACCACTGATTACATTAGCAATCTATCAGATTTCTGCAAGATTCCTTGCAGTTTACATACCTAGTCTCATAGATGGTCAGTTAGTCTTGGTTGACTCATACAGACTTTCTCACGTTCTTATCTGAATCTGGACATTTCCAAGCATATGTGGGTTTTTTCTCCTTCCAGAAGTCCATTTCTACTCATTTAAATAGAATGATTGACTATTTTTTTGAATGTATTTTTTGAATGTAGAAAGCATGGTCTATAGTATCGGAGGCTCCCAAGGTGAATAATTTGGATTCCAAAGCACATAATTTCAATTTTCACCAGTGACTTGGGGAGAATTCCCTAAGAGACTTCTCTAATCATGCATATTTTCTTCTTCTCTTTTGATCCCAATCTTCTAAACTTTTTATAGGTTGGTTTTATGGCTATGCACAGAGAGGGGTGGGGGGTGTCTCATGAAAATGACACTACAATAACCTTTTGCTGACTTGGAAGATGAAAGGAAATGGGAAAGAAATCAAATGAGTTCCACCAAAGGTAGTGTCCTCTACACTTAAGAAACCATTTTTCTGTCATTTTTATGATTTGAACACTTTGATCTAAATCCATATCTTCTAATATTGTCTAGGAGTAAAATGATTTTTTAAACAGTTTTAGATATTACAGGGGACGACTTTTATTTTTCCACTATCTTCTACTGTAACCAAGGCCCACGCTTGTTCTGTTTGTCCATAACAGGTCAATAAGTCGAAAGAAAAGATGCTAGGGCAAGGAAAGTGATTTTACTGGGAAAACCAGCACCCCAAAGAGGTGGTGGACCATTGCTGCAAAGAACCATCTCTTCTTCGCACGGAATTCGAGCTGCTTTTATGGTAGCAAAAGGGAGATGGGGGCGGGGGGCTGGAATCCAAAGGCGAGTGACATCTGTAGACAACTGCGGAAGGTGACCTAACTTCTTTGTCCAAGGTCAAGTTGGTCTTTGGGTACAGGATTCTGGTCATGACATTGCTCCTTGTCTTAAACATAGCATAGTCATTTCCTTTTGTGTGTGTGTGTGTGTGTTTTTTTTTAGATTTTTTATTCATTTGAAAGAGAGAGTCAAAGTATGAGCAAAGCATGAGTGGGGAGGGATGGTAGGAGGGAAAGGGAGAAAGGGAGAAGCAGACTCCCCACTGAGCATGGAGCTCAGTGATATGATGTTGGGCTCCATCCTAGGACCCCAGGGATCATAATCTGAGCTGAAGGCTTGGAGCCACCCAGGTGCCCCAGCATAGTCATTTCTATATGTACCTTTTTTTTTTTTTTAATGTCTCATGGTGACATAGGTTTTGGGTGAAAAGCAGTTTTTGCAAATCTGAGCTGTAACATGCCTACACGCAGGGCTAAGCAGACGTTCCTAAGCCATAGGTCACAGAAGCGAGGGGAATGGAACCACTATGGAGTCAGACATGCTAAGTCTCTCCCTGTCATATTACCACAGAAAATATTTTCTTCCATATTTTATTAACTTGTGAGATTTATTCTATTCAATAACTTGGGAGTGCAGTGCTTATTTTCTTGCTATGTCCCCAGTAATGCAAAATTATTGGTTGTTTTTGGTATTGTGGTTGGTTCTTAATTATCCCCTGTCATTGACTTAGGAGATTTCTGGATCACTTTTCTTTCACCTACATCTTCCTTTCCACACCTTCCATGTCAGCACAGTATATTGCAGATCAGTGTTGGTCAAACAATTGGAGGAGCTGGTACATACCCGGAACACACAAAATCATTGTGATGCCATATTTAAAAACCTATCCCAGGGAAGGGAAATGTTCCACTCCACAACCTGCACCAAATACAAGGGATGCCGAAACTCTCTCTGCCCTCCCTCCGGCCGCCCTTTCCAGGGTGAAATTTGGGTCAACGTTTAGACAAGTCAGATTGACTAGAAAATTACCAAGAAATCAGAATTCACTCCTCTTCCAATTTTCTGGAAGATGAAGTAGTCATTTTGAGTACCTCCCCAAATCTCTACCATGAATGGAAGTATGTGCATTTATGAATCGCACAGCCTGTGAAATGCATACTTGTGAACTACGACCCCAAAGACTTGGCTTTCTAGATTCCAAAAAAGGGCAAACGTTTTCAGATGTCCAACGCACGTGGATGTCAAACGTCATTAACGGCAGCATAGTTTGGCCGTCCGTCTTCCCAACGATCTCATCCAAGAATTTTCTCCCTCTTGCTCTTGACTTGGAGGTGGGGGAGGAGGTGATGGTCTGACACATGAGGCTTTGTCGCTGAAAGCAGGCACTTTGGCAGCTGGAAATAACCTTATATAGCAGCACTGCTTCACACTCCCGGTGCTGGAAAGATCTGTATGGAATGTGGTGACTTTTAATGCTGATAAGGACATTCCACAGGGAGAAGGCTGAGGACGGTCTTCGCAACACGATCACCCATTAAACACTGGCTCTGGTCTCAGGCCAGTGAAGAGTAGCAGCCCGCAGACTTTGCTTTAGTCATAGACACTCCAAATTTTAAGCATTTGGAATTGAGAGCCCCAAATGCACTTGTTGGGGAGCAAGTTTGCCTCTGCGACCCTTCCAGGGTGGTAGGTTATTATTCTGGGGGTGACACAGGCTCAGAGTCACTAGCAAGCAATTGTTTTCTTTTGCTGAGGACGGCAAGAAGAGACCACAAAAAAGCTCTTTGGAAAATAATGTATCTAGACTTGGGCCAGCCCATGAGAGCGCAGGTGGGCATGAGCCTGAGCCACCTGCCAGGAGGTTTCACTGCTGAGCTGGGGGCTACCCCAGCTTCACAGATGGGTATTCAGGGGTTCTGAGAAAAATCCTTCCTCTGCATAAAGGCAAAAGGAAAGAGGAGACACACAGGGCACCCTTCTATGCCGAAGACCAGTAGAGTGGTCTTGTCATGCTGCATCTTTCATCATGGGACGTGTCCCACCCAGGCTTCTGGACAGTGGGCCTCTCGTGGGCCACCCTGGCCTCTCGGCTTCCTCGCCAGCACAAAGCAAGCTGCCTCCCAGCCCCTCCTCCTCCTCCTTTGCAGTCCTTTCCTCTCCCTTCCTCCTGCTGTTCTTCTCTTTCTGGCTCTTTTCCCTCAGGCTCTTCATCTTCAACCTCTAGCCACCGAGGGCTTCCTCTCTGCCAGGCACCGCGTCCAAGTGGAATCTGGAAAGCCTGATGCATGGGGAAGGTCAGTGACAGGGATCCTCCTAAATATTAAGAAATTCCCCCAGCCAAAATCATCTTGTTCTCAACCCAATTCTGTGCCACGTCCAATGAGTTTTGGTTTCTGCATTTAAAAGAACTGCAATCATTATTTACGAAGCATGATCAAGCCCGGTGGTAATCACTCCATCCCTTGATTTACTTACCCAGTCACAAAGCACTGGAATTACAGCAGTGAACAAACAAACAAAAACTCGATCTGCAGAAGTCCTGGGAGTCGGGGAGAGAAAAACAATATGCAAACAAACAAGAACAAGCAGTATGCAAACGATATTATGTCAGGCAGGGATGAGTGGCATGAAGAGAAAGGACGGAGTATCAGGTGCAGGGACTGGTCAGGTGGACAGATGGGTGCCTTCTGAGCAAAGGGCTGGAGCAAGTCCTATGGAAGCTGTACTGGGAAGCCAGACGGAAGAGCAAAGGTAAAGGTCCAGTGCCCGAGTGTCCAGGAAGAGTGGTTTGGGGGCGGGGAGTAACAGAAGATGAGGTCACACAGGCGATAGGGGTGAGTTCTCTAACAGCCCTGGAGGCTGGGATCAGGACCCAGGCCTTCCCTCTGAGTCAGATGGGAAGCCCGTCAAATATTTTGAGCAAGGCTAAGTGGAGCATGACCTGCGGCATGGAATAGGGGGCCTAGCGGGCCAGTTTTAATAAGCAGAAGGGGCATAGCTGGTTAAGTCCTTAGGTCTCGGGCCAAGCTACTAGCCCCGAAACATGCCCCTGCTTCTTGCTAGTTGTATGACGGAGGGTACATTACTTAACTTTTGTGAGTCTTCTGTGTGGCAATTGTACCTACGCTTTAGGGTTGTTATGAGGATTATATAAATTAGTATTTGTAAACGACGTATTTGTTACCACATATAAAATGAATGTGTTTTTAAAGGATCACTTTTATTTTTATTTATTTATCTATTTATTTTAAAGATTTTATGTATTTATTCATGAGAGACAGAGAGAAAAAGAGAGAGAGAGAGAGAGAGAGAGAGAGAGAGAGAGAGGCAGAGACACAGACAGAGGGAGAAGCAGGCTCCATGCAAGGAGCCTGATGTGGGACTTGATCCCAGGACTCCAGGATCACGCCCCGGACCAAAGGCAGGTGCTAAACCGCTGAGCCACCCAGGGATCCCCTAAAGGATCACTTTTAAAAAATCGCAAGATTGTTAGTTATGACCTACCTTTCAGCAGTGAGTACAAATGAGTTCCCTAAAGCCACATCTCCCAGATGACCAAGTAAGGATTTGTATGACCTTTGTATGACAGGTCTGCATGACCCTGAGCCCATTTTACCAGACAACAGGGTACCTGCCTCTTTACTGTGCTGCACCCCCTGCCCAGGTGCTGGAGCCGTCATTAACATGATAGTAACACGATGTGTTGTGGGGTTGAACTGTCTCACCCAAGTTCCTGAAGTCCTAACCCCCAAATAACTCAGCATGTGACCTTATTTGGACACAGGGTCTTTACAGAGATGTTCAAGTTAGAGTGAGGTCTCTCAGGTAGGTCCTAATCCAATATGACCTATGGCCTCATAAAAAAAAAATGGAAATTTGGACACAGACACCATTAGGGGAAGCATGGCCGGGCCAGCACCTCAATTTCAGAATTCTCACCTCCAGATGTGTGAGAGAATAAATGTCTGAGGTTTAAGCCACTCAGCTTGTAGCACTTTGTCATGGCTGCCTTATGAAACCAATATGCTTTGTTTAGGTCATCTTTAACATTTTACACATTCAAATTAGTCTTTGTCAGGTTTCTAGCAAAGGCACCGTGCTAGATCCCAGCCTGGCTAAGAGGCCCGAGTTTCCTGAAACTTCATTGTAGTCCAAACCCTTAGCCCAAGAGGTGAATGAGAAGCTGTAGCAAATCATTTACAATTAAAAGTGATTGCAGGTAGGAGTGATCACTCCGGTCCCTGATATGCGCTAATTTCCTCCTGTAATTAACCTGTCAACACCACCTGTTAATGAACCTGGGGGTTGCCAACCTTGATCAAGTAAAATGTGCAGAAACCGGATCCCATGGAAAACTGTCACATCAAAGTATCAGAAGTATTTTGAAAAATGTGTTCTGATTCTGCTGACTTTTTTAAGGAAGACAAATCATCTCTGATGTGTAGAGATTGCTGGCACCTGGATAGTCTGGTAGGGTACCTCATTTTGATTGCCTGTTGTGTGGTTTCATTTCAGCCTGAGATCTTAATTCTCACAAGTGATTTCGGTAGCACGCACACTGGAAGGTAATGCGTCTGCTGAAGATGGATTTAACCACACTCCACTCTACTAAGGAGATCTTTCCAGGGTCTTTGTTTTATGAACAGTCTGTGTGGTGCAGTGACACACAAATGCTCAGTAAATATAATTTTCATTATTATTTTTCCTCAACCTTGATCTCTCCCCATAGATTATTTAAATTTCCTAATAATACACCCAAGGGCCTATGATTTCCACTTACTTCCTGTAGCCTGCACACTTTTCTAGAAGTACTTGGTAAATTGCCCTATTACTACTACTGTGAAACAGCCTCAGAAGCTGACCGTGGCTACCAAGTGAAAGTCTTATCCATTGTTCAGGCATTTCATAACTACTTGGCAATCAAGCATCTAGATTTAAGGAGCCAGGTGTGAGAGACTAAAGATCCTGATTTGAATTCCGTGCTGTCGCCCACTAGCTGTGATTCAATCTCTCTGGGCTTCAGCTTCTTCAACTGTAAAATAGGGAGAGTGGTAACAGTTCTTGGGCATATTCCAAAAGTCAATGAAATAGTATACATTGCGTGTCTGACACTGAGCAAACACCCTTCAAATGGTTGCTATTATAGTTATTACTCACTACAGGGTGTTACAAAGTGACAGATATTTTTAGAAATACCTTCTGAGGGACACCTGGCACAGTCCCTTAAGATCTGACTCTTGGTTTTGGCTCAGGTCATGATCTCAGGGTCGTGAGATTGAGCCCCGGGTTGCGCTCCACGCTCAGTGGGAACTCTGCTTCAGAATTCTCTCTCTCTCTCCCTCTGCTCCCCACCACTCTCATTCTCTCTCTCTCTCAAATAAATAAGTCTTAAAAAATAAAAAAGAAATGTGTTCTGAGGCCACCCCCTTCCAAATAATAAAAACAGGATTAAAGCTATTTTGCCTCTTAAGAAGTAGTTGCTGATTATCTGAAAAAAAGGAAAAGTCTATAATAATGATTTAAGTCAATGCTTCATTAATATTGTTACTTCAACTGGAGACACAGGAGAGTGGTAATCAATTTTGCTACCTCTGTGATTTACACATTCCATTAACTCACATGGGTGCTTTGTAGCACCTAATGCCTCTCCGCCTTTTGAGCAGTTCCCCAGAAAAACAAAATAACAGTGACCATGACAACAAGAAATATTCATGTAGTGTTGCTGGAGACCCATCACTAAGCTAAGTTACTACCGTGGTTCCCTATTGCCACAGCCTCACTTCCTGAGGTTCCGGTTACCTGAGGTCATCCATCGTCCTGAAGCAAATGATTTTCCTTCTGACACCTGGTCAGAGGGTCAGCAGTAGCTCGATGCTAGGTCACAGTGCCACCTCGGTCACCACCCTGCCTCTCACCACATTTTATGGTCTCAAAGCATCACAGGAAGGAGGGTGAGTACAGTCCGATTAGATACTTTGTGACAGAGAGACCACATTCACGTAACCTGCATTACTGTATATTCTTATCATTGTTCTATATATGTTTTTTAGATTTATTTACTCATGAGAAACACACACAGAGAGAGAGGCAGAGACATAGGCAGAGGGAGAAGCAGGCTCCTTGCAGGGAACCCGATGTGGGACTCAATCCTGGGATTCTGGGATCACACCCTGAGCCAAAGGCAGATGTTCCCCTGAGCCACCCAGGCCTCCCTCACTGTTTATTTTAATATCAGTTATTAATTTCTTGCTGCGCCTAATTTATGTAGTAAACTTAATCATAGGTATGTAAGTGTAGGAAAAATATATGGTATATGTAAAGTTTGGTACTGGCTGTGGTTTCTGGCAACCCCTGGGGTCTTGGAATGTATCCCCTGCAGATAAGGGGGATTACTGTATGTATGTATGTATTTATTTATTAATTTTTGAAGATTTTTATGTATTTACTTGAGAGAGGGAACGAATGGGTGGAGGGGCAAAGGGAGAGGGAGAAACAGACTCCCCACTGAGCAGGGAGTCAACTGTGGGACTCGATCCTGGGACCCCAGGATCATGACCTGAGCCCAAGGCAGACACTTAATGGACTGAGCCACCCAGGTGCCCGGGGTGGGGGGAGGAGGATTACTCTATTTATATTTTCTCTTTTATTCCTTGTAAGTCACCCTAAGTGGGCACATCCATCCCCATTTTTCAGTTGAGGTGACTGAGGCCCACAGAGCTTAAGTGACTCCACTCAAGGTCACACACAGCCAGTAAGTGGCCAAACACCAGAACTCAAAGGAACTTATGGAGGCCATAAGTATACAGACATCTTTGCAGATTTAGCATTTTTCTTTTTTTATTTTCATATTTCTGAGGCACTGAACATGGAGAGTAAAGGTAGGGTGTGAGGATTCTTCTAATCAAGGAAATAGTTCAGAGGAGAAAAAAAAGACAAAAGACAGTTTTATAGTTAAACCCATGTAAGAGTTGAAATTGTAAGTTGACTGGAAGGTTCGCCTATGGCTTTTTTTTTTTTTTAAAGGATTTTATTTTTCCTTAAGTAATCTCTTCACCCAAGGTGGTGCTCAAACGTACAACCTGAGATCAAGAGTCACAGGGTCCTAGACTGAGCCAGCCAGGTGCCCCTTGCCTATGGCTTTTGACTGGGTCAAAGACTCATCCTAAACTGAAGGGAAGGTCTCCAAAGAGTAGTGTGATTTAGATTAAACTTGTTCTTGAGCATTAGCTCTGGATGCTTCATTAACAGTGTGAAAACCGATCCTTCAGCTGGGTGCTCTTGATTAATGAGCACTCCCCAGGCTCTGTAAAGCATGAGAGACTGTGGAAGGCATGGCATGGAATTTGAGATGACTGGTTTGTTTCCATGTAGAAGGTAAATACTTACTAAGCACCTGCCCATTAAAAAAAAAGAGAAGAAGAAGAAGAAAGAAAGAAAAAATATTTACCTGTGTGTGTGTATATAAGTATATGTATACAATTTTATAGCCATCAGTGCAGCATATAAGAATGTGGAGTGGTTAATCTTCTGCTGTTTGCCCCCATCCTCCACTGCTGTAGCCACCCTGATATTTCTGTTCCTTGCACATGCTGTTCCCTCTGCAGGGAACATAGCTCTCTCAGACCCTTTCCTTGCTCCTTTGGTTACTTCCTTCAAGTCTTTATTTCAATGTCACCTTCTCAGCAAGGCCTTTCCTGGTCACCTTATTCAAAATTCAAAGTTATAAGCCAATCACCCCTTACCTCCTCCAA